TAACTACAATTCCTTACTTTATAATATTTTACAGATTTTTATTTGTGTAAAAGCCCTACATTCCCACCTGTAGATCCACACATTCATTAAAAAAGTAGAACCAGTCTTGATGTTTGGCTGCCAGCTCAGTGACAGTCAATCATCCTGTACAGACAGAATAAAGTTAGCTGGATGATTAAACAGACTTATTATCTATTTATTGTTTACTTAAAGGAAACTCAGTGTTAGCAGTTATCCAGATACCTGCTAACTCAGTAACTCTACATTGAGAGACACATTCATTATCTATAACACTAATTATCTGATAGACAAACTAATTATATTAAACAAACAAGACAAATGCCCCTAACCAACAACAACATAACCATTAAGGACAATCTATTTATCAAACATGTCAAATTATCATCAATATCAAACACAAATCTTTAATAACAAATGAACTTTTCATTAAAAACTATAATTTTCTAAACAATAACCAAAACCAAAAACACACTAATTATTTAACTATTATTATTTAGTATCATAAAGTTCATCTTATAACAAAAAAAGTATAGATAACAATTTCTGTCCAACAAAAATGATAAAACATATAAAAAAACTATTCTGATAAATGGATTGTTATCAAAGTTCTTTCCCAACAATCTAATTAAAAAACATAAACTAAACAAACTATTTATAACTAATTATCAGTTACAAATGATGTATAGCAAACTAAGCATTACTATTCATTAAGAAACTATTTATAACAAAGTAATTATCCATAACAAACTGATGCGATTACCAGAGCTTCTGTTCACTCTGAACAACAATAGAACAAACAATCAAACCCAGGAAACAACAATAACAACAACAATAAGATTCAACACAAAAAACAAAAACCCGTATTGTATTATAACCAAACATGTTGTTGTAGATGATGTGGTCATTGCTACGACAACAACAAACACACTGCCTTCTACCTCAAAAAGCAGGTAGAGAGAGAAAGAAGTCCAGCTTTGGATTTTTGCTGATGAATGGAGTCACCTTCTTCCTCTCCCTTCCTCCCCTTCCTCTTCCTTCCACACCACACCTCCCCTCTCCTCCTGCAGGAATGTCTCCCTGCAGACAGAATAGTCTCTGAATACCAATCAGATCTGGATTCAGTTCAGGTTCTCCTGTTTCAGCTCTCGCTCCCTTCCTGTCTGCTTCACTCTCTCCCTTAGTGTGTGTGTGTGTAGTTTGAATCAGCTGACCTGTATGTGTGTGTTTCTTCACTACAGTTTTGTAAGTGATTTATTTCATAATGTTTGTTGTAACAGGTTCACACACACACACACACACACACACAGTGCTAATAGTATTACTTTTCCTTCTACTAGCAGCACTTAAGCTCCTTTCAGACCTTATTACATAAAGTTTCACATCTCACATCTGAATAAACTTTAAAGTAAAAGTCCAGACGTAAATCTGACAAAGTTGAACCTGTAACATTTCCGTAGCATTTAAACTGGACTCAAGTCTGAACTGCATGTGTCACATTAACACAAAGGCACAGCAGCACAAGGTTCAATATACAGAGAGATTAAATACGCGGCATTTTCTCCCTAATTTGGTCCAGGAATTTCTCACTTATCTCCCGTGTATGAAACACTGTTATCTTGAGACCACAAGTTAATTCATCTCATTATCTCGAGAAAACAAAAGGCCAATTGACTGAGATCACGCAAAAATTACTTTTGTTTTCTCAAGATCACAAGATAATTAACTTGAAAATCGAAAGTCGGGTTCATGTTTTTCACACCTGATTTCAGCCTTGTTGTCATGACTGTCGGGGAGGATTCAGAACTGAAAATAATCATGACCAGAATGTACACCTGAGAATTAATTTAAGCTGTTAATTTCCTGGTAATGTGAATCAATATTGACAAAATATATCAGGAGAATATTGAGATTTATTAAAGGAAAAGATCCCAAAATTAATTATTAACTTAATCGTTGCACATAATTTCTCCATGCATCAACCATTATGTTGAACATCTATAATACGCCATCAATGCACGCTGGCATGGCTCTCTTGATCTCTGATAAACATTAATAATAGGAGATAACAACCTTGTTTCAACCTGCATCAAACAAACAGTGAGCACGGCCGTTCAAGGCCTCTGTAGCAGTGCTCTTGTTAAGTTTAACAGTTGTAATAAACCACACATCAAACTGAGGCGAGTTCAATTTAAAGTGTTGAGGTGTTTCTGATGTTCTCACTCACCCTGTTGAGAGTTACGTTCTACATTTCTACACTTACTTCGCTTTCTTGCCAAGTGTTACATGAGGTAATCAATATCGCTCTCATGCACTCCAGTTTAATAACAGAACCTCTAAAGTTCAATAATTAAGTTATATGTGTGTTCATCTTGAAAAATCCCTGTTATCGCTATCTGTTGTTGATATTTCAGTCCGGACCAAAGCGGCGAAACGACCAACAGACCAACACTGCCATCCTTAGAGCAACAGGGCTGTGGTTAAAGAGGTGCCACGTGTATATTAATGTTATATTTTGATGCAGATTTTCATTTTCACCTTGTTTGGTGTGATTTAACACTGTTACCTACTGTATCTCACCTGGGGTTAGCTCAGACTCAGATGTACAACAATTAACATACAGGTTCTTTAAATTCTAGAGATTTTTAACTTAAGAATCTCATAACTCTTTATTGACTATTTTGGAAATAACAGCAGCACGTTTTATTTTGTGCTTGTCATTATTATGATTATTATTATTATTATAAGGCTTGCCATATACTGCATGAAAGTAGTAGTTTAAGTGACTTAGAAGATTTCTCTTACGTTGGGTCAGTCTGAAAAAAGATTTTTTTTCTTTTTGACTTGCACACAAAAGGCTCTTTCTTCTTTCTTTCTGTCTCTCTTTATGTCTGTATAAAGACAGAACCAACAATTACAGACAAAAAGTACTGTAACAGAGAGATGAAGACAAAAATGTTCTGTATTTCCTGTCTGGAGAGGCTTACCTGTATAACCATTTGTAGAACCACTGGAATTACTACCGCACTTCTACAACCAACTAACTGTGATTTTGGAAAACAAGAGCAGATGAGACAAGTCCGGACAGATACTGATTAACAAATCAACATATTTGTTCTAGTTATTTGTATTCTCCCCAGGCGGGGCGAAGGGGGGGG